TTAGATGAAGGAGTCATTATATTAGTTTGTTTCCTTGAGAATATACTTGTCTTTTGTCTGGAATAAAATAAGTTTTCGTTGTTATTTCACAATATTAGCTGAAACTTCAAAGGAACACCAAGCTATGGAATTAAAATATACTCATGTAATTAGAAGGTATGTGGTGAGTGAGTATTTGATACTGCAGCTGCATGTAAATTTCATAATATCCTCGGGAAGTGGCCTGAATAATTATATATAAACCATACATGGATGTGCTTAATTTACATGATATGGCACAAAAGACTATGTAATGAGAGACAGGATATGACCTGTAATTTTAAATTTTGAACATTGGGATACTTTGTAAGCATGGATATACCCTGTATGTTCTTTTTTCTTTTCTATTTTTTTTGTGGGGTTCAGGGGAAGAATAGTGAGTCACTACCTTGCCCCCCAGAGTTTGCCTGCAAGAGGTCCATTCTTCGGAGATATAAAAAAATTGGAATATTCACAGAAATCAGTATGAATAACTCAGTGTGATGGAAGAAATAGCAGGAGGTACATATGTTTCGTGTCGAGCTACCAGACATACAAGATACATATGAGTATACCTTTGGTTGGCAGTGTTGCTTTCATATCTTTACCTAATATGTATGTGGCTTCCATTGTCATAAGGAAGTACAAAAAACACATTATAGACTTGAAGTGATATTTTTCACATAATGATGTATCAGGTAAGAGAAAATGATGAAGATGTCTGAATTTGTAATGGAAATACGATGACTGTGCTAAAGCATTTCACATACATATTTGCCTCTACCTGTTCCCTGTTATAATTAAGATAATTAAGAAATCTTTCCTTTCAGCATATTTCTTTGGTGTGAAAAATCTTCTGTGTCTGTGCTTTGTTGACTGGGGATGCTTTGATTCCCTGCTGGGGCTGTGAAAGTATAATAAAACTATTTTTAAAGGCACTACAAAAAACTATATGAATATGGTATCCACTTCAAGTGTTGTAGTTTGGAAATAGAAAAGGTAGTGGGGCAGTAAGTAGATTTCAAGGATAGTGTATCTGATTTACGAATCTGGCAATTCCTTTGGGTATATTAAAGAGTGAATGAAATAGGTGTGACTAGAATATATTAAATATAATTTATATAAGACTGGTTCTGAAACTGTCACTTACATCTACAGATGGTGCACCATAATGGCCATGAAAGACTGAATATGATCTTCTGAAAGATACCTACATCTAAATATAAACAAAAATGCCGATATCTGTTCAGTACTTTCGCTGTATAACAGAAGTCATGGTATGAAATGACATGAGGTCAAACTGGGCAGCTTTCTCGTGCTCCTTAACAAAAGGGGAGTAAGTCGGTTTAACAATACATTTGTTAGCATTCTTCCTAAAGTGGCAAAGCTGAGTCCCTAAGAGTACATAGACTTATATTGTAGTTTAATTCCTAAAACTGCCAACATTCCATGAGTTTGAATTCTGTAGCACTGTATAACTAAACTAACCCAATCAAGCAGACGATTTTAATGAACGCACAGCCCCTGAGTCTAAGAGCGCGTGCACTGGCCCGAAACCCAATTCCACTTGAAGACAGGGTAAATGATACCCAGAAACACCCTGTATACTCTGACTCTGCAAGGTAGAAACCATATGAGAATTACCCATGGAAATGGTAAAAGGCACGTGGTGACTAGAGGACGGTGTGTTAACTTCTAGTCAATTACGTCAACCTTGGGACAAAGGCAGATGCCTAGGTAATACCAATAACTTAACACGGCACTCTCGACGGATGTGCCCAACTTTGTTACAGCAATAACAAACCTTTTGGGAAGGTTGCAAAGTAGGGTTACCAGACACAGAAAGCTCGGCAAGAGTCATAGGAGTGGGTGGATTGCGCGATTGGGAGCTCTGACTCTTGTCGCTCGTCAAAATATTGTGTGCATATATGCACATGTTGTCTAGTTCGGCATAGGTGGCAGGTTTATCACAAAAACTAGCCGACTTCTTTCCTGAGGGTGGAGCCCATCGAGGATATTTCTGACCACCACTGCTTCGTGCGCATCCTGACGCAGAAAGCCAGCAATTTCCTTAATGTCAGTAATATAAACAGACAGGGGCTCATTGGCCTTTTGGGCTCTCAAATAATCGGAACTTATCAGTGGCAACATGGCACGTGTTGGAATAAAAAAACTCAAGTATACTCTCATGATAAGCTTGGAGAGTATCCGCACGCCGTATTGCGTCAAACGTTTCTGAGGCCAATGCCCCCTTGGTACAACTATAAACGACTTGCAAGACGCAAATGGGGGCACTTGGAAAACCGTAAGAATGTGCCTAATCTGCACTAAAACTCGCAAAAAGTTAATCAACTGAGACATCTCCAATCTGTCTGTGATGGGAAGACCCTGAAACATTTTCTGTTCTGGATTCGGCAATTTTGCGAAGACAAAGGGAAAGGTAGAAATACTACCAAGATAAGTGGACACCCCTGTGGTTGGTAGATTACCCAAGATTGAGCAATCATTTCATGACTGGCCGGATCCACAATAAGAAGAGGGGAAGGGATCAAATGCTCCATGTGTGGACTGGCAGAAAATACAACAACTGATTTGGCCCTACCTTCAGCGTTGTGCAAATTGATCGTACCTGCAGCGACCAGCGGTACTGATGACATGTGCTCCTCGCTCTGCAAATTGCAGTTGATTTCTGCCGAACGTGACTGCACTTGCTCACGCAATGTCAGGGCAGAAGACTCAACTCGGGTGGTATTCCTCTAAACTGGAACAGATGGTGAAGACAAGTACCAAGATGGGCAAGTCTATGTAAATTATGAGGGAAATCAATGAAACCATGGGAACTGTCCATGTTTTCCACCAACTCTTTGATTTGCAAAAATTTGTCCTGACAAAAGGAAAGAATAGTTGGCGTATCCTTCAAACCTTTCGTAGTGATGAACTGCTCAGCGTTCACTTCAACATCGCAAGAGATCCTGAACAACGCTCTCAGTGCAGCCACATTCAACCCTTCGACAGGAACCCCTCGAATGGCGACCTCATACTCTAGTTCATCCCCATGCAAGTACTCAGGCAGTACTGGCTATGTAGTCATAATGAAAACAACAGCAAGAAAACAGAAAACTAGGGCAACGACTAAAAGATCCCAAAAACCAAACCACACTCTGCTACCACTTTGAAATGTGAAAATGTCTTGAAGACTGGAATTTGTTTTTTGGGTAGGACGTACCAACTCAAAGACACTATAACAAATATATCAAATGACTATATATATATATATATATTAAATACTAAATGCGAATACAATGTAAGTCCATGGAGGTAATAGACCTCCGGCAATCAACCAATCAAAATCGTACAGACCAGGAATGAATTGAGTGAACAGTTCAAGCTCGCACAACAGAATGGATCACTCTTGTTGGACCTCAGCCGCCTGGAAGCAGGAAGTGGAGCAATGTCAGAAGTTTCTCAATGTTATCCATAATAAGTGACAGTACTGTAACAATTCATTGGCAAGGGAAAGTAATTTAATGTTTCAAATAATTCCCTTGGACATTACTTCCAGCCCTACCACTATTCTAATTCCTTTATATTGAAGTTTCTTTTTTTGCTAGTGGGGTGGGACTAAGTCCCTTGTACTGTGGCCACTTCTGCCCTATTGTACCAGCCCCAGATGATAGGTGAGGGTGACTGTGGAGCAATTGGTGGAATGAAGACTGGCAGGGGAAACTGAAGTACTTGGAGAAAACCTGCCCCAGCGCCACTTTGTCCACCACAAATCCCACTTGACTAGACCCGGGATCGAACCCAGGCCGCCGCAGTGGGAAGCCTGCGACTAACCACTTCAGCTATGATGCGGTCATTATTTTGAAGTTAAATACTTCTTTGCTGTCATAATTTCCCCACAAGGTAATTCCATATGAAACAATGGAATAATAATACCCATAATAAATTGGTTTTGAATTTGTTTTCATGTATGATGTAACTGCTCTCACGGCAATGCATGCTGAACTTGGGGTTCATACATTCAATGCTTTTCTTCTTAAAAATATCATCAATTTATATGACATGGAAAAGATTTTCTTACTTCTTTGGCTACTTCATTATTATAATCTATATTCAACTTAATACTGCAGTAGTAGCAAATTTCACTTAATTCTGTCAAAATAGAATACATACATATATAGTTCATAGTTTCATTGATCCGCTGTCTGATCCAAACTGGATATAGAACTCGTCATAAAGAGACTTAATTGCAAATAAATAATCAAGTGAACAACAATTACAAACAAATTAAGAATGATAAAAAACACTTATACAACATTAGAACTACCAAATATAGTGGGTGAAATTGTCAATCACAGCCCAGGCACATCAACAATTACAAATAACAATACATTAATTTATCCAGCAAAATTTTTGCTTGAAATGTATTCGTCTATTGAATAAAAAGCATTTGAAATAAGAACATTCTTCAATGTATGCCTAAAAATATTCACACTGTCTTTCAAGATTTGTTTATTTTGGGGCAGATTATTATAAATTATAATCTATGAATACAACACACCTCTTTGAATAAAAAATTGTCTTACTGAGGAAACATGTAACTTTTCAAACTGTCATGTGCATATATGATGAACAGCATTATTTGTTTGATAAATATTAAGATTTCTAACAATGAACATCATCATANCTTTACAAGAGCTTCTAGGACTAAAACAAGGAACTGTTAAAATACCCATTCTCTTAAAGCCTTCTTTACAAGAGCTTCTAGGACTAAAACAAGGAACTGTTAAAATACCCATTCTCTTAAAGCCTTCTTTACAAGAGCTTCTAGGACTAAAACAAGGAACTGTTAAAATACCCATTCTCTTAAAGCCTTCTTTACAAGAGCTTCTAGGACTAAAACAAGGAACTGTTAAAATACCCATTCTCTTAAAGCCTTCTTTACAAGAGCTTCTAGGACTAAAACAAGGAACTGTTAAAATACCCATTCTCTTAAAGCCTTCTTTACAAGAGCTTCTAGGACTAAAACAAGGAACTGTTAAAATACCCATTCTCTTAAAGCCTTCTTTACAAGAGCTTCTAGGACTAAAACAAGGAACTGTTAAAATACCCATTCTCTTAAAGCCTTCTTTACAAGAGCTTCTAGGACTAAAACAAGGAACTGTTAAAATACCCATTCTCTTAAAGCCTTCTTTACAAGAGCTTCTAGGACTAAAACAAGGAACTGTTAAAATACCCATTCTCTTAAAGCCTTCTTTACAAGAGCTTCTAGGACTAAAACAAGGAACTGTTAAAATACCCATTCTCTTAAAGCCTTCTTTACAAGAGCTTCTAGGACTAAAACAAGGAACTGTTAAAATACCCATTCTCTTAAAGCCTTCTTTACAAGAGCTTCTAGGACTAAAACAAGGAACTGTTAAAATACCCATTCTCTTAAAGCCTTCTTTACAAGAGCTTCTAGGACTAAAACAAGGAACTGTTAAAATACCCATTCTCTTAAAGCCTTCTTTACAAGAGCTTCTAGGACTAAAACAAGGAACTGTTAAAATACCCATTCTCTTAAAGCCTTCTTTACAAGAGCTTCTAGGACTAAAACAAGGAACTGTTAAAATACCCATTCTCTTAAAGCCTTCTTTACAAGAGCTTCTAGGACTAAAACAAGGAACTGTTAAAATACCCATTCTCTTAAAGCCTTCTTTACAAGAGCTTCTAGGACAAAAACAAGGAACTGTTAAAATACCCATTCTCTTAAAGCCTTCTTTACAAGAGCTTCTAGGACTCAAACAAGGAACTGTTAAAATACCCATTCTCTTAAAGCCTTCTTTACAAGAGCTTCTAGGACTCAATCTTAACATAACCCTAACTGTCCATTTTTGGGCTGCAAAAACGCTTTTCACTGCTGGGGTAGAATCCCAAAAAATAATACCACATTCAAGTTGTGACTGATAATGAGAAAAACAGACCATTCCTAGGACTTGCTCACTAACAATGAACTGTAACTTCCTGAACATGAAACATGCCGTATTCAATTTTTTAAATAATTTTTCAGATTGTTGTTTCCAATTAAGATGACGATCTACATATATACCCAAAAATATTTAACATTATCTTCAACTTTAAGACCTAAATTATTATGTTACTAATAATGTATATTCCAGAGGCTTTGGGGTAGTAAATTTAATCAAATGAGTTTTTCCCAAATTAAGTACCAGATGTTTATTTTGAAACCAATTAGAAATGTGTTTCATTACTATATTTAATTTATCATTCAAAGTATTTATATCATTTGAAGTAACTATAATTGTGGTATCATCCGCATACAAAATCGTATGCGCTATATTTTTTAGGATACTTGGGAAATCATTAATATAGACATTGAAGATAAGTGGACCCTGAACAGATCCCTGGAGAACACCATACCTGCTAGTTTTCCGCTCAGATGCTGCGGTAACTGAATTGCAAGTCTGCAAAACAACTATTTGCTTCCTATTATATAAATAAGTTTCAAGCCATTTCAAAATAGAACCTTTCACTCCATAATACTCCAACTTTCATATCAAAAGACCATGGTTAACACAATCGAATGCCCCTGTAAGATCACAAAAAAACACCTACTACAAGTTCTTTATTGTTCCATGCTTTCAGAATAAGATCAGTTAAATTGAAAACAGCAGTTTGGGTAGAAATAACCACTATGAAATCCATATTGTTCAGCAGCAAGAATATCATTGTTTACTAAATGTTGTTTTAACCAGTTGAGCACAAATATTTCAAATAATTTAGAAAATCTTGTCAATAAGGATATCGGTCTATAATTAGAAATTTCTGAGGTATCACCTTTCTTAAAACATGGTTTGATATTTGCACATTTCAATCGACCAGGGCAAATGCCAGAATTTAATGAGTGATTATAAATATGAGCAAGAGGTTTAGCTATCTGTTCTCCACATAATTTGATAATTTTATTAGACAACCCATCATATCCACAATAAGTCTTATTTTTTAATTATAAAATTGAGCTTAAAATTTCTGCTGTGGTAATTAGTATACTTACTACTTCAGAGAACTTATCAGAAGAGCCCTAGTGAAGTAGAGATAAAAAACCTTCATTGTTAAAATGCTGACTAATTAATTTATCCACAGAACTTATAAATAATTATTAAATAACTTTGCTGCTTTATTAATGTCAATTTTTACATTTCAATCTCTCAGCTCAGAATAGGTAAATTTCTTGTTGGGCTCTCGGCCAATTTTATTAAGGATGATTTTCCAAGACACCTTTGATTTATTGGTTGAAACCATTATTATTTCATCATAATACATCACTTTTGCTCTTCTGATAACTTTCCTTAACAAAGTACAGTATTAAGTATAATACTCTTTAATTTTGGGCGATTAATAGTTCTACACATCATACATAAATACTTTTTACACCTACAAGATATTCTAATACCTTTTGTAAGCCATTGGTTAGGATAGGCATTATTTTTTACATATTGCATTGGAAAGAATGTTTAAAAAATAATGAAAAAGGTGTTAAAAATACGTTAAAACTTACATTAACATCCATATTACTAAAACTATTGTCCCAGGTTTCATTTTGGAGCATATCAGTAAAAGTTTTAATACTAACCTCTTTTATAATTCTTCTTTTAACAAATCTATTTGTTTTCTTTTGACAACTAAAAACATTATATACAGTCAAACTCTGAGCATCGTGATCTGGAAGTCCAATGATTACGGTGAACACTTGAAATGTGTTTAATCTGCTGCAATCCAAAAAAAAATTATCTATTGCAGTACTAGAATCTTTTGTTATCCTGGTGGGGAAATCAACAACCCGAAACAGATTATACATTAGAAAAAGTGAAATAACATGGTGAACTTTACTTGAATTTCCTAAGAAATGTACATTAAAATTATCACATATTATTATTTCAAATTTAGGCTTACATATAAACTTTAAAATTAATTCAAGTTGCTTAATAAATTCCTCAACATTTCCACAAGATCTGTAAATACATACTACTATAATGAAATTATTGCAGATTTTCATCTGGGCTGCATTAGCCTCAATAACCTTTTACTATGCATTATTGAGTTATATCAACTGGAATACAGTCCATCTCCAGTTTACAGTAAATGCATACCCCTCCTCTTTATTGAGTAAACGTGAAAATTTGGAGGTTAAACTATAATTGTTTGGTTTAAACATTAAAAGTTCCTGCTCTGTTAATTAATGCTCAGTTATACAAATTACATGTGGACTTAGGTCATGACAATGTAACATATTCAATTCATCAATTTTATGTTGAAGGACCCTGATATTTTGACAAAATATATTTAGTGAGTTGCACACTGAAGACTTGTATTTAGAATTTACTATTTGTGTTAGATCCCAGATACTATGCAAAGGGTTTCAATTCTTTATTTTGAGGTGTTACTACAAAAAGTCAACAGTTCTATTTGCCAGTTGTCTCCTGAATCACTTACTTAAAGATAAGGAAGACATCCTTCCATACTGTTTACCTTCGCCCACAGATAAGGTTACCTGAACTTCTGAACTAATACTATCCTTACTTTCACACTTCTCCATTTTATCCTTCTTCCAATTTAAAGGTGTAACAGTCTGTTAATTTTTATTTGATTTTGTTTCTATAAAAGTAACTAACTGCTTAGCTACATATTCCTCACCTTTTGAATTCAAGTGGAAACCATGTCTAGTATGATATTTTCTGTCACAACTAAACTTAATATAGGGCGCATGGTCAAACGATTTCAAATGCTTGCCTTCCTTTCTACAAAAATTCATAATTTCTGTATTCACACAAGACTCAAGACACTTACATTAGTATTTTGGTTCATATGTATGTTTCCGAATATATGAAAGACCTTTTTGTGTTTCATTTCTACTTACTTCTTTTATACCATCCCAAATTATTAAAAAATCCTTTTTAGTTAAGTTCATGTATTCTTTCATATTAGAACGTAATATCACTTCCACATCTGCACCTGATTTCACTATTCCTTTAGCGTGACTATTATTTTTTCTTTGTCGTCCTATCCACTACTACAGCTTTACCACACTTTTTTCATGCACTTCGAGTCTTCCAGCAGATTCGTTGAGGTTACCGAGAGGTTGAAAACGATTGATACCGCTATAGATTGGCTATTTACTAAATCTGCTCTTTTACAACTCTTAGTTACCTTGCACCAACCATCCTCGTCTTTCTGCCAATTATAAGTCTGGGCTTTTAGACTCTCTATAAAATATTAATTTCCGTCAGAATTGCTTCTTTCTCCGCTTGACGGTTTGCTATTGCTAAGATGTTATTACACTCTTCTCAAGTTTTCAATCACTTTACAACATACAACCTTTTGATACCGGTAACTGTTTATTATTTGAACACCCCGATAATGGGAACATCGCGAATATCAGTTATTTTCTTCCCAACATTGCTCACGTACAGACAATCGAACCGCCATCGTAATAGTGATATTGTGAAACAACCAAAAGGTCCAAGAGAATCTAAATCCCGGTGTATCGTCCGCCATCTTAATAGTTAAACAACCAACAGAATACGAACGATCTGAACGATCTAAACCCCCGTATACAACAAGCCAGAAGGAAAGTATTACTGCAAAGCACTCTCAAATGAAACAATAAAAATCAATGTGACCATATCAGAACCGTAACGGAAAGTAATCAGACGGCTCCAGTAAGAAAAAATAGTATATCACATATCAGATCAGAGAAGAAATGGCCTATAGGGTAGTAATACCAAATCTACATCACTCAGTAACCACGGACGAAATAAAAGTGGTACTATAAAAACAAGGCCATACTGTCCGCAATATACTAAATGACAGGCATCGTCAAACAAAAGAACCAGTGCCTTTGTTTTTCATGAGACCTAGAACCTAAAGAAAAAAATATGAGCATATACGAAATTAAATACTTATGCAAAATGAAAATAACAGTCAAGTCCCAAGAGAGAAAAACGACATTCTACAGTGAGCAAGATGTCGGTGCACAACGTTGTGCAAAAATAATCCAAATACTTCAGCAAAATGCGCCCTATGCGGAAGTTATGTTTATTATATCCAACACAAATGTAATATAAATTAAATTAGATACAACTCAACTAACATTACCTGGTACCAAAACCGTATCTGTTGGAAGTAATATGGAAATAGTTACAAGTACAAGGAAAAATTACTTATTTTAATGTTGCCCATGTGTATATACTGGGACTACATCAAAACATCATACAAGCAAAAGATATTCTGAGTCCCAACACGCGCAGCGTTGCTACTACGCAACAAGCGCAGGCGGCGATTACGTAACAAGCGCAGACGGCTATTACGTAGCAAGGGCAGCCTGCGCTTGCGTAACAGGCATACACGGCGGGTATATAAAGGTCTCCACCGGTCTAGGCAGTCAGTCGAAGGCAGAACTTGTAAGAGTGCGGAAGTGAATGGCGGACGTTTCGAACAGATCAGCAGGAGTGAATACACTATAGCAGCCACAACGTAACTATGTCGCACATCGAGACTGAAGAGGGGGTGCAAATCATGATCCAGGAGTGCGAGTATGTAGGGAACACAGGCCAAGCCATCTCTTCAGACTTACATAACTTGCAGCCAATGGACATGGAGGAGGAATCTACTGAAATATACCTCTTAGGATCTGGCCAACACTATTCCGTGAACACCAGTGCAATTACACATGATCAGATGGAAAGTGATTTAATGCACGGAACAACTACAGACCAGTTGCTTGCTAAGGAGGATGGTGCCTACATTACACAGCAAGATGTCGATCTAAATAAGGTCCATACCATCACTGCAACACACTCAGTCACCGCTGACACTTCAATGCCCGATGCTGAATGGTATTTGCAGAACTTTGAATTACCTCCAAAACAGATGAAGAGTGATTTAACGCACGGAACAATTACAGACCAGTTGCTTGCTAAGGATAGTGGTGCCTACATTAAACAGCAAGATGTCGATCCAAATACGGTCCATACCATCACTGCAACACACTCAGTCACGGCTAACACTTCGTTGCCCATTGATGAATGGTTGTTCCAGAACTTTGACTTTTCTCCAAATCAGATGGAAAGTGATGTAATGCATGGAACAACTACAGACCAGTTGCATGCTAAGGAGAGTGGTGCCTACATTAAACAGCAAGTTGTCGATCCAAATACGATCCATACCATCACTGCAACACACTCAGTCACTGCTAACACTTTGTTGACCCCTGATGGATGGTTGTTGCAGAACTTTGAATTAGCTTCAGACATGAGCCTTCCTCGTTCTACAGTGTACAAACTTTACCTCCATCACTGTAATGAAGACAAATTAAAACCTCTTATTCCACAATTGCTAGGGAAGATCATCAGCAGAGTTTTTCCTCAGCTGAAAACCAGAAGATTTGGTAAAAGGGGTAATAGCAAATACCACTATTATGGGATCCGTCTAATTCCTGGATCAGCAGCGAGTAAACTGGCAGAAGAAAACGACTTAGTTGATTGGCAGCAAAAACCACAGAGAGGCCATAAATTCCAGTCCCGCTCAGGTGGTGGGACTGGCATTCTGAAAATGGGAAACAAATATGAGCAAAATGCAAACAGTTCAGTCAGCTTGTGTCACTCCAATTCATTACAACACGACCCTCATGAACACCTGTATCCAGGTGACCTACCAGAAGCAATACCCAACTTTCCAGATATAGAATTTCCTGTAGACCTACCTGAGGACTGCACACTTGAAGATTTGGACACATTTCGTTGTATCTACATAGAACACTGTGCGGCCTTTGTGAATTCAGTTGTGAACTTAAAATTCAACACTGTTGAGAGTTTGTGGAGAGAATTCTGGCAAAGTCAGGATAATAACAACGGTGACGAATGTGACAAGGAGAAATATTTGCCCAAAAGAAAGCTGTATCTCTTATGCAAGTGTGGGCCAGTTCAACAATTTGTCTGGCGTGTGGATTGCCAGTTCCATCAGATTGCAGTCGACATCCTCATTCCTAATATTCTTGTGCCAATTCCAAGTTCAGTAATACAGTCAATTCAAAACTTTGCAAATGGACTTGAATCGTGCCTAAAAAGAGCCATGACAAACTGTCCTGAGGAAATGGTGCACATCAAAGTCTCTGCTATGAGTGTCTTGGCACAGACGTTATGGCGCTACAGCTCACTAAACCATCTGGCTCAAGCTGTACATCATGTTCTTCAGAACTATTCACTGAGACACCAGATGCTGGTTGACCTCAATCAAGTTGACTTTTGCAAAATACAAGCCCAAGCATCATGGGTATGTCAGTGTGATGATAGTATGGTACAACTGGAGGTTGTCTTCAAAAAGATACTGCATGAGCAGAATTCATTAGAGCAATGGTCAGCCTGGTTGGAGGGTGTCATTTCACAGGTGCTGAAACCATATGAAGGAACACCCAACTTTGCGAAGGCCGCAAGACAGTTCCTACTCAAATGGTCATTTTACAGTTCATTGGTTATCAGAGACATATCACTCAGAAGTGCAGCAAGCTTTGGCTCCCTTCATGTGATCCATCTACTATATGACAAATATATATTCTTCATTATTGAGCACAAAGTGGCTCTGGAGACAGGGAACACTCCTATTGGAGTAATGGGAGAAAAATACAATAACAATCAGTCCAATTTGAGTGAATTCATCCTACCAGGGCCCTGTAACGGGGATCTGTCTTTTAAAGAGGAAGTTCCTGTTAATTTCAGAAGGAAGATAGCTCCCACAACCTGTGTTGTTGGAACTAATGAAGCTAGCCACCGTGCAGTTGCCATAAAACGTTTCAAGATTGACTAATGATAGCATTAATTCTGGTCATATGTAAATAATCTATGTCATACCTCATATTTCAATATTCTATCATATGAGTTAATTAGTGAAACATAAATATATATTTGTAGTTATGTCATTAACATTGAATAAATGAAATTGTCAATTCAAACACCATGTCTAGTCACTAACACTTGACAATATGTATAAATATACAATATTACAGACTTTTATTTCCATGCATTATAGACAGTAACATATATTCATAATAATATGAATGTTTAATTAACATGCCATTCACAGTTTATTAATAATAACAAGAACAATTAATTATAATGCCACTCTCATTATGGTCTAGTGTGCCTTTGTCACTTCTGGGAGCCATTATATTACTTATGTCTACATGGAGATTGCAGAAGTCAATGGTAACACAGCTTTTGTGACATCGGAGAAGAAGAAACATATGTAACTATGATGACTACGGTCATTACCGTCATTATTTTCCCTTTATGCGGTGGCAGAACTAGTACACAGGTAACAACCAATCAGAGAGCCCTGACAAACCAATATGATTTGTCACACAAACACACACATAGGTATATGTGGTCGATTATATGCAAATTGGTAGGTATGAATTTTGATTTGCTGTGGCTCTGAAACGAGAGTCGAAGGTTATTGCCAAAGTTACATCTCCAGGTTAGATATTCATTCATTCTTTCATTAATTCTGTAGATCATGATACAATGATATAGGACAAGTCTTTCAGCTAATATACATTATTAAATTACAACAATCTTAATATTAAAAAATTATATAAGATATACAATACTTTATACATTATATACTACATACTTCTGCTTGTATCAGCAGCCAATATTCGAGAATTCATCATTCAAATTATCTTCCGTTGAGTAATAGCACCTCTGAATAAGTAATTTCTTCAATTCCCTCGTGAACTATTATTGTTTTCAACTTTTTTTATGTTGTTAGGCAATCTGTTATAAAAGATACAGCCAGCTACTGAAGGATTACTATTATAAAGTTCTAAGTTGTGCCCATATATATGATAGACTTTATTATTTCTTGTGTTATATGTATGTATTTGTTCATTCACTGCGCAGTTACACTCTTTTTTTTACATATAGGATTGTTTCTTGTTTCTTTAGCGAGTATACTGTTAGTATCTTTAGATTTCTAAAGCTATCCCTGCATGATTCCAGATGTTTTAGCCATGCAATGTACCTTATTGCCCTTTTTTGGTGTATAAAAATTCCTCTAGTGAGGATCTTAGCACTATGTCCCCATAATATTATTCCATAAGAGAGATGAGGATAGATCAAACCGTAATACAACATTTTTCTTTCATTTAAATCAAGTATTTTCGACAGCCTGTTAATTATGAACAGGTTATGGTTAATTCTACTGCAGGTTTTTCAATATGTAATTCCCAGCTCAAGGTACTATATATTACTACCCCCAGGAAATTTGTCTTTTTTACATTTGATATTTCCCTGTTCTTTATTAGGATTTCTAGATTACTTTCCTGCCTGCATTGTTTTATCTGGAAGAGAATATTGTTGTCAATACTCCAATGGACAAACCACACGAAACTGTACAATTGTATATATTGAATCGTTTAAAGTCAATATACAGAACACGGAATACACGTATAATGTTCAAGCGTTGGCTGGCCTGTCTGGGCGGTGATGCCGTGCTGAGCGTGCCGGTAGGATCGACTGGCTCGGTCGGTTGCTGTGTAGCAGAAGATGCGTTCGCTGAAGGCTTGCGGGGGTATACGCACAGGTCGGAATCGGTGTCGACCAGGAACTGCCGCTTGC